TGGGATCAAGAAAACAGGTGTCAAGATGCTTCCATATCACAACTTGAAGATGGTTTACTAGTATTAAGGAAAGGAGTTGTTGCACATTACAGAGAGAAAGTGATGTCGACTCTAATTTTAAGAACCAGTGGCATTGCATAGAATTATTGACTGCCTGTGGGTATGTAGGACATGGAATATTTATTTAAAAAAAACGGCAGAGCTGACTGGCTGTCCAATTTATTAACACAAGAATAGTATTAACAAATTTCATTTGAACAGTCGAGACTTAACTCTGGAACACTCCTGTAAAATAACAAAATTACCGAGATGGATATATGTGAAATATGTAATGAGGACTTTTCAGAATCAGGAAAGCTTCAGATGTTGCACTGAAAGGGATATGAGAATCTAAAAAAGCAGTGTAGACGTATCAACAACTCTTCATTATTAGAGCGATTGGAACGAAAATGGATAAGCAACACTCCTATGGTAGTCTCTCGTAGATGCCACAACCTTTTCTTGCAAAAGGAGTTGAAGCATAGGCCTATCCACTGTACTCATTTGTATTTCCAAGCAGGCTTTGATGTTCTTTAAGACATCTGTAGCATTGACAAAGAAGAGTTCCTCTTGAAGTACGGCTGGTCTGGAAACGACATTGTTTCATGCATTCATGGACATACCAAATATGCTCTCTACAAATGCAGATTTCCTGCCAGTGTCATTACTGCATTCACAAGTAACACTTTAACCGACTCCACAATTCGAACAGCTGGGATAAAGTAATGCAGATCGCATAAATATGGCTCTGTGAAAGTTCCCTAGAAAAGTCTTGCCTATGAAGTTCAAGAAGCAAGCAGGCAAGGGCAAAATTGATCCTGACCGCCTTCCACCAACGGAAGATGCAACAGCTCAACATTCCCATCGTGGCCATCTTCAAGTTGTGGTATGGAAGCATCTTGACACCTCTTTTCTTGATCCCAAAGGAAAAGGATTGGAGTTAGGTTCCAACAGAAAACTTACACCAAAGATGCTGTCTGTTGGTATCGGGCCATACAACCTTCTTAAAGGAATTTGTTGCAGGAGAGAGGCAGTGTCAAAACATGAAATGCAGCTGCATGAACGCTGGCGTGTCATGTATATCTGCATCTCGAGTGTGCTGTGGACATTGCTCCAATGGAACAGAGAGCATAGATGCAGAAGAAGTTAATCGGTAGCGATGAAGAGGATACAGCCTGAAGTATTATTAATTTGTATCGTGTTGCCAATAGTTACTGTAATTTCTAAGTTGTGAGTAGTATCTGCAAATTGTACATATACTTTACATACACAAACTAATTGACACTAATGAACTTTAAACCCCCCCCCCCCCTCCTCCCTCTGCTCATTTTGTCCTTCAACCTCATATTTTGGAGGAAAATTCTGTGCATTTTCACAGCAAGATCATCGATGCATTTGTAAAACATGCTGTTGCTGAAATATAATTTCAAGTGTTTTAGTGCAGGTTCAATGACCTTTGACCCTCAAAACGGAAATGACCCTCTCCTCCTCTCTTTTAGGAATAAATAATAACCCCCATTCCCGCCACATTAAGTTGAAATTAGTCTTTTCGAATTGTTTGTGCTCATTTTTACATAATATCGTCATTTTCCTGTTAGTAATAGGACATTTTAGTGATAAAACGTATATTTTTTTACCTTTGACCTCATTTTTGGAGGACAGGATTTTATTCCAAGGATCAGTAGTTATTTTATGTCATCTTCTTTCATAATCGTGTGCATTTTGACACCAAGATCATCTATATACCTTATTTTGTTGCAGAGATACAATGTAAAGTGTTTTAGTGCAAGGTCAATGACCTTTGACCCTCAGAAAGGAAATTTACCCCTCTCCCTCTGCTCTTGGAATAATTAATAACCCCCCATACCCCCATATCCGCCAAAATAAGTTAAAATTAGCCTTTTTGATTTGTTTCTGCTCATTTGGATATGATATGGTAATTTTACTGTTATAAATATGACATTTTAGAGATAAAATAGTTTTTTGAACCTTTGACCTCATTTTCGGAGGTCAAGATTTTATTTTAAGGGTCAGTAGTTATTTTATGTCATCTTCTTTTGTAATTCTGTGCATTTTGACACCAATATCATCTAAATACCATATTTTGTTGCTGAAATACAATTTTAAGTGATTTAGGCAGAGGTCATTGACCTTTGACCTCTAATAAAAAATTCTCCCCAACCCCCATAACTCCTCCCTTTTTTTGGGTAGTTTTCCATACCCATACCTAGCCAAATCAGTTGAAATTAGCTTCTTTTAAATTTTTTCACAGATTGGCTCAATATGTGGCTAATTTAGGGTTACTAATGGTTCATATTAAAGATCTTTTCAGTCTTTCATGATTAGATTGTGCTTAAAACGTAACGCTTAAGATGTAATTTTTTTCACTGCGACCTCACAAATCCAAATTTTTTTGCTCGCTCGCAGAAATTATTCGTACCATCACAAACCAACTACAAAGTAAATGTGTGATGCTTGAACAGTATGAACCATGTTAAGAGAGAAACAGACATTGAAATCATCCCTGTAATCACATTGTTGGGGTATATACCAATGTCTAAAAAAACTGTAAATTTTCGCTTTGAGGTTTTCCTTAGTAGGTGCCCCTTTCTCCCGGAAAGTGCCCTTTATTTTTGATGCCCCCACACCATTTGAATTACCTCATTTGCCCCTGGCCTGCTCAAACCTCCGAGCTTCCAGGGGCGCCGCCCCCTGGACCCTACGCCAATTCACGCTACGCTCTACCTACTTTAGCCCCCCTACTTTGAAAAACGTTCACCGGGCCTGATGTGAGGTGTTTAAAGCTGCAGCCCGAATCAAGTTATTGCTGTCTGCCCATCACAACTGCTGCACTAGTCTTGTACTGACTGATTTTGACAATCAAGTGATACCCGAGGTATTAGGAATCTGTACCGTGACAATTGTGGTTGTCAACATTGTTGCAATTGAAGATCTTGTTTAGAAATGAAATAAAAAGGATAAAAGATATTCTTTATGGACTCCTGATCTTGATGAGGGAATCATTGCTGTGTTTAGTTATACATATAACAATATTAAACACTTACACCTAGAGGCAGTGGCGTACGCAGGATTTTTTCAAGGGGGGGGGGGGGGCGGGGGTTAACATTTTGAAATCAGGCAAAAAAACAAAACAAAAAAAAAATCGCCGAAGGGGGTGGGGGTTGTTCTAAAATACACACATACAAAAAAACAACTAAAGGGGGGGGGGGGGGTTAACCCCCAAACCCCTCCCCCCCCCCCCCATGCGTACGCACCTGCCTAGAGGTACCGGTGCCATGAATACCAGTGTCCTAAAGATTTTTTGTCACAACGGGCGGACTGCAGACATAGTCCCACTTCTTGTGTTTACAGTCTTTTCCTCCTATCATAAATTTATGCTGGAAAAAGTCACAAATTTTAAATGATATCCTGGCAAAAAGTATACACCAGATCGCACAAATTTAGTTTACAAATTCGACTTTTCTTCAGCTTTTCAGGGGGATACATCCCCCCTCAGACTCCCCCTGTCCGCGCAAGCGCGGAACGTGGCGCTTACGCGCCGCTCAATATTTTCTCACAAATTGGGCCCCCCCCCTCTCGACGCCGGCTGGATCCGCCCCTGGTGTTCGGAACACCATTATCATCACTTTCTCAGCTGCAATAGGGAATATCTTCAGCAGGGTTGCTGTTGGTTCCCTTACCAACAGCCTTGTCAAACCTGTCACTCTCTATCTCTTCGCTACAATCTTGAACATCGCCGATCTTCTATGCGATGTGTATTTTGACAACTACTACGCCATGTTGGTGACGTCATGTATCTCCGCATTAGGGACTTTTAGATTTGCACGTCAACAGTTTTGACTGCAACGTGTGACGTCATTTTAAGGCACTGCGCATGCGTTACGTCGTCTCAGTCGGCGATCGAGAATGCGTCAACCTTGATTTTCCTAAACCTAGTACATACATACATATTGATATTTATATAGCGCCTTTACATGCTCAAGGTACTAGTATGCCGTGTGCGCATGCAGGGGCGGATCTACGTAGCGATTATTCCGGCCCGGCCCCCCCCCCCATCCTAGCCCCCCAAAACGATAACAAAAATAGGATAATAACGTAAAGTTAACCTTTATAAAAAAAAAATTAAAAAAGCGCCCCCCCCCCCCCCGCTTATTCGCCGGCCGGCTGAGTCGGCACTAAATGTTGTATTAAGATTTGGCTACCCCCTCCCTCCCTTGACGACGTCTGGATCCTCTGCAGGCGCGGATCCACGGGGGGGGGGGGGGGGGGGGGGGGCTGACGGGTCAACAAAAAAAGAATAAAAAAAAACATTCTCACGAATTAGGTGAAAAAAACAAAAATAGTGGTTTTCACCGCCCCCCCCCCCCCCCCGCTTATTTACCGGCTGACTGAGTCGGCGCAAAATATTTCCTGAAAAATTTGACCCCAAAAAAGTGCCTCCTACCCCCCCCCCCCCCCCCTCCCGCTTATTCACCGGTGGTTGAGTCGCAACTAATATTTTCTCACGGATTGGGCCCCATAGGGTTAGGCTGGATCCGCCACTGTGCGCATGAGTTCCTCAGGTAGACAAAAAAACATCCCTTTCCTGCTATTATGCATATTCACCTTTTTACATAATTTATTTACATTCTAAAGATAATACAGTCTAGCGAGGTTTGTTGTTTGCTGAAAGAAAGTAAATCACTTGTATTAAAGCAAAACTGTTAAACCGTACACTAATAATGATAATAGTAATAATAATAATAATAATAATAATAATGATATGTTATCCCCGTGCGTTGTGGTGTCGAATTAATAAGAGCGATCCACACTGTCTTGCAATTTCTTCCAAACGACTGGGGATAGATACCATCTTTCTTTCAAGCAGTAAAGAATAGTTCTATAGATCATAATTCTAGCTGTCGAGGTTTGTTGTTTGCTGAAAGGAAGTTCTTCACCTGTATTTGAGCAAAACTGTTCAACCGTACACCATCTAGAAGTTTGGAGCTCCGACAGTATACAATGGTACACTGATACTTCTTGAGTTCTATCAATATTCTGCGCGTCTATTCTCCGTTTCGTATATGTTATCCAGCTAACAGAAGTGAAGCACACATTTATATTTTGTGTATCGTTCCATCAAAGCCTACCATGGGTTGTTTTTATGAGATTTTAACTTCTCGAAGTTTGCCTGTGGTGGTGTGTTTCTTCTTAAAGGCATCCTGTCATGTAGGTATTATTAAGACCATTGGAATTTACTTGGAAGATATCAACATTAGTCTTGGAACGACATCGACGGATATTGGAATTGCTCTTGGACTACTCAATGCATTCTCTAACTTTCCAGGTGAGAATCTAAATCTTATCTATTCCTAATGTGACCGCTCAAATCCAGTGGCAAATTATCTCTAAATGTATCCCGCACGATGTACTTGCGATGAATCGCTTACACAAAAATAAACTACCTGCCTGCTGGAGTGAGGGGAGAATAACCGACCCGTGCCCCGCCCCCTTTGAAACTTAAGTGGCAAATCTTAATGACCCCCCCCCCCCATGTCACACGTGAATTAAAGACCCTCTTTATTATTTCATGACATAGCTTTAGGTTTTCAAATAATTTTGGACTTAAAGATAGATCTGCCATCGTCTAGTGGATACATCCCCTCTGCGGGACGATATAAGAATACAATAATTATATGCATAGTTTCAAGTAGATATTCATTGATTTTAAAAACTAACTTTATTTTCATTATTGCAAAGTTGAAACTTTGATTCGACAAGGTTATCAAAATTCAATGCTTGGAAACATTCGAAGTAATGATTATTATAAATTACAAAACGCTTAAATACAGCCCCGGTATAGCACCTGAAGAGCTCTCCGAACGCTGCTGAGATGTGTGAGATCACAGTATGGACATGATGTGCACAAGCAGACGATGTCCCATGACATCTCACACATTTTCAGTGCCTGTGTTTTCATCTTATCTTGAGTTCTTTCTCTTACTTCACTACCGTCAGGCTAAATGTATAACTTATTGCCTCACTCTAAACCCCGCGCATGGTTTTGTTTTGATGACAAATGCAGCGATGCAAAAATAAAGGAATCTGTCGCTTGTAAACAAAATAAGACGCCATTGTACCGTGTGAGTCAAAAAAAAAAGTTTACACCTAGAAAATTGCTAATTATTTTAAAAATCATCTATGAACAGTAAATTATTATACATCTTATGAAAGAGTGTTTTATCCCAAATCATTTGGTGCCATTTTTGTGTGGTATGTGTTCACCCTTGGATGAACAGGTGGCATTGTTTGCGAGAGTGCAAAAATCGACTTGCGCCAAAGTGATGCCTTTAGAATGTATTATGTTGGGATTAGTGGAGTGAGAGAATGGATTGAATGTATCAAATGAAATGCATTGCATATGTTTTTCGCAAAGGGCAAAGTCACACACACCCAGGGCTCAAATTAATTTTTTGTCCACGGGGGCTCTTCCCAAAAAAAAGAGCCCCCGTGAGAAGGCTCACGGGGCTCTTTTAGTACTGACGGGGGCTCTTTTTTATACAAATATCCATTGAATTGGTACCTATGATACTCCTCAATTATTTGCTGTTTCATCTTTATCATTTTAATCAGCATTTTCCCTCTTACAAATTTACAAGCTACATAGCTGTTAATGACTTTCATCCCGTGATGACATTCTCTCGATGTCTTCCCGTTCTGCACATAATTTCCTCCTCATTATTGGGAGCAACCTTTACATTCTTTCTTTACTGAGCCGCGTAGCGGAGAGGCGATTTTGTGTGTGTGCTATTTTGGACAGACGCGGATCCACGGGCTGATTCTACCCCCCCCCCCTAGCCTCCCAAACCGTTAAAAAAAATAGGATAGTAACGTAAATTTTAGCTTAAAAAATAAAATAAAAAACGCCCGCCCTCCTGACCTGCCAGTGACACAAATGCGGCATCAAAACATTTGTGCTTCTCTGACCGTAATTAAATGCCTAAAACCCCTGACCCCCCCCCCCCCCCCCCCCACACACACACACCAATTTACGCTCGCTACCCTCTACCTGATCGTAAATACTTTAGCCCCCCACTTTGATAAACGTTCCGCGGGGCCTGTGTATATAATATACACGCATACAACACTGATCTGTATGATGTCTTTAACGTGACATATCTTCTTCTCCCCTTGCAAACGAGAAAGAAAACAAGGTCATTGATTGTGATTCAAATTGATGCGAATATTTGTTTGAATAAGCACTGCTATTCGTCCGATTCTTCTTTGTAAAAACAACTTTTACAAATCTCAGCCATGCTTACTGAGTTGAGACGTTCCATTCAATGTAAAATACTCATTAACGAATACACTTCTCCTAATCTGAAAGTGATCTTACAACACAGTGGCTGAATTGCAAGGCTGAGATTTGCAAAAGTCGTTTTTACAAAGAAGATTCTGGTGAAAAGCATTGCTTATTCAAAAAAAAAATCCTTGCATCAATTTGAATCACAACGATTATTTGTCGCATGATCCTTTTATCAAATAACCTTGTTTTCTTTTTTGTTTGCAGGTGGAGAAGAAGCTATGTCACGTTAAGAAATTATAAAGATCAGTTGTATTATGCGTATATACATAATGATACCAGAACAAAATGTTGATTATCAGAATGTCATTTTGGAATACCTCTATAAAAATACCACATTGTCTTTAGCCCGTATCAGCATTAGTATGAGCCAATATAAAGCTATTATTCTTTATTCAGTTCAGTATAATAATTTTCCTCAAAAATAGTTTCGCTATTTTTTTAGGGTTGAGACGCTAAGAAATGGTTTCAAATGTACATTACACAAACCCTGAACCATTGCAAAATGATGGTGGTTCTCTCTCTCTCTCTCTTTATTTTAATCATGCATTATCAACTACATATAAAGCAGCAACCAAAAACTTAGGGTTATCTGAGATAGGTGAAAGTAAGAGTTAAAAAGAAAGTCATGCTAAAACGGCGCTTCACCTCCCCCCCCCCCCTGAAAAAAAATTAGTGGTCCTCCTCTCCAGCATCCCCCCCCCCCCGCTTTAATATTCACCAGCCGGCTGAGTCGGCGCAAAAATGTTCCCCCAAAACTGGACCCCCCAAAACAAATATATGTGCATTTATCCAGCCCCCCCCCCCCCTCCGCTCATTCGCCGATCGCCGGCTGGCTGATTCGCCGCTAAATATTTTCTCAAGATTTGGCCCCCCCCCCCCCTCTTGCCGCCGGCTGGATCCGCCCCTGATTTAGGACCCCCGTAAGTGATGTTTTCCTGGCATCTACTAACATGCGAAGCATCGTCCACGAGCCGCATAGTGGCGAGGCGATTTTTTGTTGTTGCTATTTTGAACCCCCGTATTGTTTTCCTGGCATCTACTAACATCTTACTGCGTGGGTCGATCTGGACACATAATGGCGTTTTTCTATGCACATCACATTTTCACTTGGCAGCCCAAGGGGGCCGGGGGGAGGAGGGGGTTAAACCCTTTAACCCCCCCCCCCCCCGTAGATCTGCCCATGTTACCATGTATCATTCCACGACATCTTGGTCTTCCTCTTCTTCTCAATAGGGACTTTTAGATTTGCGTGGACGTGGACGTGTTCTTTTAAGGCACTAGCAGTCACATGTGACGTCCTTTTAAGCACTGGCAGTGCCTTAAAAGGAGGTCACACGTTGCAGTCCACGTTCTCATCGTGCAAAAAAAAAGTCCCTATATTGATTTATTGGTCGAGGTTCATTATTTGCTGGTCATTTGAAATCCCCAGATTTCAGCGGGTTTACGCTTTCACAACGAAAAACTTCTCCATGACCATATGTTTCTGCCCTTGTGCGATCGCCTCCATAGCTCCAGCAGACATGGCGCGGCAGCGTGCACACGTACCGTTACTAACGGCGCAGTAGGCCTATAACCACTGATGATGGCGGCACTGCTCTGCGAGCTGAACCGGTAATAATAGGCCTACTCATAGAACGAGAAATCTTGCACGCTTATCTAAGTTTCATTTCATTGGTTTAAGGTTTGTAAATTGAAACTCAATATTGTGTTAAAGTTAGAACAGAAAAGATAATCTTTATTTTATAATTCCACGAGGGCGATTTTTAATTTTGCAATCGCCCCCGTGAGCAACCTGACGGGGGCGATTATGTAGCTCAGGGGGCGAATCGCCCACCGCCCCCGTGTATTTTGAGCACTGCACACACCCACACACACGCGCACAAATGTTCCTTGATATTTGATATTCGATATTTGAATGTGTGTCATGATTAGTTTTGTTAGGGGTGTTATTTGGATCTGCAAACACCGAATTAATACCCAAATCCCATTATTCAAACATCACATAGGCAACTTTGGCGCAAGTCGATTTTTGCACTCTCGCGAACAATGCCTCCTCTTCACCCAGGCGTGAACACATACCACACAAAAATGATACTGAATGATTTGGGATAAAACACTCTTTTATAAGATGTATAATAATTTACTGTTCATAGACGATTTATAAAATAATTAGCAATTTTCTAGGTGTAAACTTTTTTTGGACTCACTCAGTATATTCAGCTGCACACACCGTGGTATATGTTCGGCGTTTCAAGATGGAACAAATGCCGTCCTTGATATCATTCCGGGTTTTTTTTTCAATTTGAATGTCTGTTTTCTTTGATTGTTAATTAACCCCTATCCTGTGTATTTACAAGCAAAAGATTTTAGTTATCAGAATCGGGTTATATCCTCTTTTTAATGGTTTGACATGCCATTACATTTATATACACTAACCTCATTACAATTTGACAAATAATAGCTTTGCAATTATGTTAATTCTTTATGGGATGTCGTCTGCTTGCGCAGTATTGGTCCATATAGTGACGTCATTAAAACATCGTTATTTTTCCGGCGACTCGTCTCTCGTATATCCCAGCTGCTATGGAGGTGGTTGTATTTGTATTTTTATAAATCACCCGATATGTAGTTGACCTAAAACTTGTACGATGGCCATCTGTTAGCTTACCAGTTTCTAGTGATACGCTAGTTGACATATTTGTGATTTTCTTTGAATTTCACCTTCAACAATATTAAATCTGATATAAATGGCCCTACGTGTTATCAGTCTCTGTGACATGGTGTAATATTGAAGCCCTTAACAAAGTTTGCGCTTCAAAATAATCATGAAGTGCCTCAAAAAAAGTAAAAATCTTTGATTGACCGGTTGTTATTTTCCCCAATAGACTGTAGTGTTATTAAAATCGTTACGAAAACGAATTCTGAACTTTCTAATTCCAATCATAAATATCTTGATAATCAGACAGGCAATCAGCTTGTAAAAGTCATGGGATTCATGTTTGACCTAAAGGTTTATGATTATGATTGCAGCATGAGCTAAATTCTGGATTTTTTAAAGAATCTGAGGCAAAGTTACCCTATCCCTTTAATAACAGCGCATTTTACACATACAAATACCCTTTCGAGGGTCAGGTTGGAAACTATGGTTCCTGGGGTAACTTGACAGCAAACATTTTTCATGAGTGCATGGTGGGGCCCTGGAAGGAAAATGGTCATATTCACGTCACCGAGAGTAGTAACAGAAAATGATAATGGTAATAACATTAATAGTATATATCATTTCGGTTAAAGAGAAGGTTGAGTTCTGGGACGAGGTGAAAAATAATTTGTGAGCATTACTCATTCTTATTATGCAAGTGTGGAAGAACATCAGATAAGACATGTTCCCTGAAAAGCATGGCTCTTCAAATGCCTTCATATTCTAAATATGCATGTAACATCGTAAAAATCGGGGGCCGGCTTTTTACGCCACGCGTTCGTGTAGTCCCATATACATCTTTATGTGCAAGTGTTTGTAACTTTACCAAGACTTGGCCACATTTCTTATCATTTTGATGATTCTAGAACCTTGCAATACACACAAATGCTTATATGCTAGATGATCAACCTTTTCTGGTCGGTTCCACACCGTTTCTTTCACAATGCAATCGCATGACCAGAACTCAACTTCATCTTTAAGCTTAGATGTACTTTTCTACTCATAAATATCTGCACCGGAAGGTACAGCACACAATTGTGAACAAACTATGAATGTTCGCAATACAGTACGTACTATTTTGTGTGTGACGTCTCACACCGTGTATGGTATTTCGGTATCTGAAAATAGTACTGCATGCTGTACATGGATCGTGACGTGAAATGTTAACCCTGACGGCAATTCGCATGATACCTTCCAAAGCCCCCCCCCCCCCCCCCTCTAAATACAAACACCTGTTAGGAACTTTCGCTCAACAATTGACAAATGTAACCTAATTATTCCAAAATCCAGACTTTCATCTACCGAAAAACGTCTCACAATTCCTTCTTCGAAAATGGGCACATACACTAATATTTGATCTCGGAAAGCGTACTTCTTTCCTCAGTAATTTGATATGATTTCCCTTTTTAATGAAGTTTGTGTATTTTTTCACAATATGTTCTTTGGTATATTTTTGATAGCCCTCCTAAACAATCGATAATAATATAATTATTGTAATATATCTTGTTAAAGGTACTATGTCCCTTTTGCAGCCAACCTCAAATTCTGTGGAACTTTGCAGGAATTATGAAAACATGTCATGTATGTCCTATCTGTGAAATTTAAACGTTAGCAGTGTCCTAATATTCACATTATGCAAGGAAACCCGTTTACTTGCTAGACTTCACTGTCAGACACTATTGAGTGACTGACTGGCTTTTTTTTCTTCTTTGGTAATAACATACATAAAATGAGCCGTAAAGCGTACATGAGCATTTGTCTACATCAATAACCCACTTCTTGTGATGGCCAAAATTAAACTGATTGAATCTTTGCGCAGCATAAAACGTATGACCATTCGGTACAATGGTCTGAAAATCAAGACTATTACTTATTGACTCTATAGCTCCTAAGTCGATTTGACAACTAATAGTCGTTATTTTCCCACTTGAAGACATTTTCAAGCCTCACCTTTTTTAGGGAAGTTTTAAATTAGTATTATTTTTTCAATGCCGTTGGAATTTAATCTTTTCATTTTGTTAGCCTGCAAATGGGACATAGTACCTTTAAAAAATATTCAATTCATGACTAATATTTGAAATAGATTCAAGCAGATGAATATCAGTTATAAGAAATGTTGCTAATTACATGAGCATAAGATTTTTTCTGTCTTCATATAGCTCCTATAATTGCTGCCCTCTATCGCCACCATTCCATTCGTCGTCTGCTCCTAATATTTGGTACATGTCTCGCTTCGATGGGCGTGGCCTTGACTTCCATGGCAAACAGCAACGCTCAAATGTCAATCTATCTCTCAATAACCGGTAAGAAACTGTTCATAAAATCTTATTAACTATATTACAGTCCATGTTTATCTTTAACCTTACTCCTGATTACATGAAAGATTTTCGTAAGAAGTTGGGAGGGAGAGTTAATTGTTGAAAATATTTGATCAAATCATTTGTTTCGCTTTTATAGTGAAGGTTATAATTTAGATTTTCCACTTTTTGGAAAAAGCATGAAAACAAAGTATTGTAATAGTACGCTCATTTGGGCTAAAGGGGGCGCTAGAGCCATAGAAAAGCCGGGTTGGGTTGATTAATGGTACGATTATTAGTTTGACTTGGTATACACCTAAAAAGCTAAATAACATTTATTATGTTTCCAATAGTATGCCAGGAACTGGTAAACAACCCCTGGTTTTGAATTCTTGAATTAGATTAAAGTGTTCATTTCGATAAGCATGTTGGAAATGAATTCCTGCATCAAGATGTACATGTACAGATGTTCATTTCCAACAACACATTAGACAATAGACTGTTTTGCCGGGGACGCGACATTCTCGCGGAGAGATAGACTCCTCCCATTTTTGTCGGTGACCAGTTTAAATCACTAGTATCTATGATGCTTTGTCATTGGTTATAATTAAGTAAAGGTATAACTTCTCTTTTAATTGGTCGGTTGACCTAAGGGTAATTGCATGTATCCCGTCTTGTAATTGGTTGGCGGAGTAAGGGTCCTCCTGGTTGGTTGGGTATACCATGGGATATCTAAACCTCTTCGGGTGCCGGAGTACTTAAAGGCCATGTGCGGGATTTTGGGGTTAGTTTTATTTCATTCCTTTACCATGTTCAGTAGGATGTGCTGCTAATTTCAATCAATAGGGTCGCCCAGCCTCTGAGAGAAGCAGTTTATTTACCATGTTCAAATAATGATAATACTCGTCGTTTGCAACGATTGAAGCTTCGGCTGATATAAATTTAATAAAGTGGACTTCAACTGTAATTCCGAGCTTCCTGTGTTTATTTATGTTTGAACTTGTCATCTTCGACGCATTTACTGGCCCACCACACTATGATCCAAATTGAATGGGTGTAAGGAATACTTTGGTTCAGATTGGTCTAAAAGCACTAAATTTGGCAAAGACGTCGAATATGCCATACTATTTAGATTTTTTACGGACGCCAAGAAGGGCACCGCCTGGGGCCGACATTTTGGTCCAATAAAAAAAAAGCCCGCCAGATGAGCTGGAATTCAATAGTATTTAAAAATGAAAATGGCTAGAAAAATTAACCTCTGAAAAATGATGGGGCCTACAGATATCGAAAATCTTATTCTGATGTTAATTCATCGATTCGATGTCAAGGAGGGCGCCCCTTGAGATTACTTCCGCCATTTGAGCTCATGGTTTATTAAACTATTATAGTTTATATAGCTCCCCTTCTGCATTACCGAAGCACGATGATTATAAACCCCAACTTCCAAAATATGTTCTCACCCATCTTATAGGAGTGTAGTTCAGGAGAAGTGGATCGGGAAGCTAGCTAAGGACAAACTCGAACCACCCTACCAACAGGGACTTTTAGATTTGCACGTCGACAGCTTCGACTGCAACTTGTGACGTCATTTTAAGGCACTGCGCATGCGTCACGTTGTCTCAGTCGGCGATCGAGACTGCTTCAACCTTGATCTTCCTAAATCTAGTACGGTACTAGTATGCCGCGTGCGCGCGCGTGCATACAAAACAATAATTAAATAGAATGCCATTAGCTTTTGACAAAAGATGAATGGAGGGCACCAATGAGGAGAATCATTGAGAACTGGGATGTCAAAACTTTAATTGACTTATTGTTGACAACACGGAAACTGGTTCAAACAGACACATATCCACATTAAATGTAGAATGTGTGACATTTATATAACTACGATTTGAATGTCTTACATTCTGAACAGAAATAGAGAAAATAAAAGATAGTAAAAACTAAAGAGACACCTCAGGAAAAACGAGAAAATATGAAGACGATCTAAGAGAGAGAGAGAGAGAGAGAGAGAGAGAGGGGGGGGAAGGATAGAGTAGATAAAGGAAACACCAAGGAGAAAAGTATAGAAACAATGGACCAAATTCGAAAGAAAAGCGGTGCCTGTCTTAGTGCATTTAGAAAATAGCAACATCGTGGAAAATGCATGAATGGCCTGGATGAAATATTGGGATTACTTGAAGACTTCCGAACCTTCGTGTGTGTAGTTGAGTTTTTACAGACATGTATCAATGATTAGATATGATTATTTACGTCTGGGGACCGACCTTTAACGTCACCTGGTCCATCCAAAAGACGTGACTCAGTTTCGAACCTGCGTCCTCAGCTGAATCAGTTTTTTTAATTTCCATAGTTAGCTGGATTACAGGCGCACGCCACAACGCCCCTGTTAACACTTAAAGGCCTTATATAGGCCCTAAGCCGATATTTATTGTTAAAACTCGTAGGCTCTGTTTATCTTTTGCCAGTAACAACTCTCCTTATAATAGATATAGACCTAAATCTAGCCTCATTTTTTCAGTATACGAGTTTCATTACCGTATAATCAAGGAGTATACATATAGTCTTAATCAAAATTGTGTTATGTTTGGGTCGTACCCAGTTTTCTAACACTCATTATTGTACATTTAATATCGACCGTAATTTTCAGGCGAAGGGCTTCCCAAGTAACGGACCATACATCGTTAATAAATACATATGGACCGTCAACTAAAAGGTTTGAGAACCCCTGTTATAGAGCTTCTCGTTGTGCAAACTTATCTGGCGGCCATTTTAGATCTGACCAAAATGGTGGCTCTAGGGGACACCCTTCTTGACATCCAATCAATTGAGTAGCATCACCAAATGTGGTGCGTTTAGAAATTTGCAACAAACCGCTCCATTTCTCCTCCTAACATCCTTAACTAATGTAACTTGTACAAATATAGGTAGTACGTAGTAGGCATTTGAAGATTTGAAAGCGTGCCATCGTGCGGCATTGTATTAAATTTCATGATGCCATAACAATATTTACCTAGTTTGGTATTATAATTTAGAAAATCGATGTTTGTTCCATAGAATACTTGCGGTCATGGGTAAACGGGGCCAAAATAGCGCTGAGGTAAATGCACAGTATATAGTGCGGCCCCTGTAGCGCAAACTCTCAGCTACCACATATTTCAATTTGGAAGAATATTTAGTAGAAACATGTGATACACTGTCAAAAGAACATTGCAAATATGAAATTATTAATTACAAATATAAAGATCTTAATTTCAATTGCAATATGACGACGCCTTAACCTCTGCTTAGCTACAAATGATATAATCTCATGTACACGTCGAGCCCCCTTCATGATTACAATACATATTTTTTTAATACGAATATGGGATATGGATGATAGGGAGATATGAGTTTGTTCCGTTCTCTGTCTTCGCCTACAAACTGGCACAGGTGACCCCGGTTTGAAACTGAGTCACGTCTTTCGGATAGTGACGTTAAAGGTCGGTCCCCAGGCGTAAATCCTTTTATCTGATTCAACCACGTCTGTGAAACCTAGATTACTGAGGCACACATATATGCTCATTCGTACATACAACCTAATTACAGTAACAGAAATACAGTATACGATAATGAAAATAATAATGATCATAACGATTACGAGGATTATATCATAATTCTCCTCATCCTCATCATTATCAGAGCATACATATGTTTAATGCTCGAGGTAAAGTGAATTCTTTTAAAGAGTATTTACAATAGAATACATGGAATAGTTAGCGAACTGATCGTGTCCTGTTGTGCGTATCCACTATAAACACGTTTATTCTTAACCCATTGCTTACGGGAACCTGGGGAGTGTTTCACAAAGATCATAAGTAGAACTTAATACTAAGTTGGACTTAAAAAGTATGGACAGCCATTGGAGCCTTAAAATGAATATATTCAAAAGCAAAAATTGGAGTATTTTAGACTTTTCATCAATTCCACATCAAGAACATGAAATCTCCCATGATAATAGAAAATATGAATGATTTGAATCAACATTTTATGACTTCTAAAAAAAAAATTACAAAATATTTTCAAGGATGCTAATGGCTTCCCATAAATTTTAAGTCCAACTAAGAGATAAGTTCAACTTAGGATCTTTGTGAAACACCCCCCCCCCCCCCTGGTGGTCCCTGTGAAGAATTCAGTAGTCAACGGGTATTTTGTTCGACGCACAAAGGGAGCTTTTGCCCGCACTAAAGTTTTAGCTTTCGTCGATATTTTAGGCGTCCAATAGCTAAATGCCCGCAGTTCCGACAATCAGAAAGCTTGAACCTTAAATTATGATATAATTGGGATTCTTAACCGTCTTTATTGTTGCTATTATATTTTTTCATTCAACAAATAAGATTGGCCATTCATTAACTTCTTTCAAAAGAATTTCTAATATTGTTTTTGTTTTTTTGCATTTTAGAGCTTTATTTTGTGTATTTTTTTACTGATGTAATTAAAAGAATCCCATTGGTTAAATTGGAAATGTTTAATCATGTTAACAGGACATCGATAAACATGTACAGTTGCGCCAGGAGGTTGCACTGTTGTTGAGCTCTGTGATTTCGTTGAATTTTTCTTGATAGTTTTAGGAATAGTGTTCTGAATTCATCAGCAGTCTTTTAAGTATCACTCCACGATCCAGCTAGATCATTTTTGTGATGGATTGAGATGTTTGGAACACCTACAGTTTTGATTTATGTTTTCTTCATGTTCCTGTATGAGCCCATGGTCAACCATTACAGTGCTTGATGCACATAGTATTCATGTCCATGACTATTATGTTCTCTACTATTGTTAGACTAGAACATGAATAGACAGCCATGGCTAGCATCGGCATGGTGACTATTGTTGTGAGTCTCCTGATCCTATTAGCTTCTATTGTGATAATGCCTACAATCACCTACACCAGAGAAGACCTTTTGTCTTTTCAACCCAAGTGTGCTGATCTCAGGATACCACTGAATACCTATCACATATTACAGGACTATGGCATATGTTCAGTGAAACCAACTCATCGTGGACATCGTGTACATCATTCTTCATGTCGTGTTTCTGACTTTAGAAACTTAATATCAGTAGTACCTACTAAACTCTCGGCAAAGATGTGTACATTGAACGCTAGATCAGTAAGGAATAAGACTACCGATATCGTTGAATTTGTACTTGATAATGATTTTGACATCCTCGCATTGACCGAGACATGGTTGAAGGATGACGATGATGTTATTTTGGGAAACTGTATACCTGAGGGATATACCTTTAATCATAAGGATCGACAAGGAAAAGGAGGAGGTGGTGTCGGACTGTTGTTCAAATCTTCACTGTCGGTCAAGTCAGAAGCTGTACAACATTTCATATCATTTGAAGCTTATCAAGCCCGAGTTTCATGCCAATCCCGTTCACTTATTCTCCTTGTCATTTATCGCCCAGATATAGTGGAAGAGCAAGGCCAGCGAATACCTTATAGTCTGTTCCTTGAAGAGTTTGCTACCCTACTTGACTCATTTGTTCTTGATCCCTCCGAAGTTGTCCTGACAGGGGACTTCAATGTATGGGTCGACGATTTCAATTACGTACGGGCAAGGCATTTTATGAACATACTTTCATCCTACGGAATGAAGCAGCTTGTACGAGAAGGGACTCATCTACATGGCCATACACTTGATTTGCTTATTAATCGGGATTCAGCCACTCTTGTTTCTGATGTATCTGTTTTCCTTGGAGTATCTGATCACCACGCTGTCCAGTGTAACCTTGATTTAAGAAAGCCGTCTACTTCTCGCAGGACTGTCACAACTCGCCCTCTACGATCAATGAACAGAGAACAATTCCGATCTGGAGTCCATGAATCTTTGTCAGAAATTGACATTGAGGATAGCAGCATCTCTTCGTCTGTCGAAAGATATGATCTCTCTCTCACTAGTCTTCTTGATAAGCTAGCACCTAAAAAGACTAGAAGTGTTATCATCAAACCTTCGAGTCCATGGATGACTGAGAAAATCCATGCTGCTAAGTGCCTTAGAAGACGCCTTGAGCGCAAGTGGAGGCGTACTAGAAGTGAAGAAGACCGCAAATCATATGTGACACAGCGTCAGGTTGTTTCCCAAGAAATTGAAAAGGCAAAAACTGAATACTATTCAGAGTGTGTTGCAGAATGCGAAGGAAACCAAAGACGTCTCTTCACTGTTGTAGACGCTCTGCTGCACCGAAAGAAGGAAACTGTTCTTCCGGATGCTTCTTCTGACCAAATACTGGCTGATAACTTTTGTCATTATTTCTTCAACAAGGTCACCAAGATCCGTGATGACATTGATTCCGAGCTTTCGTCAGGACAGTGTGTACAGCATTGTGAGTTATCATCTGTTCCAGTTTTGACTGATTTCGCTAAAACTTCTATTAGTGAGATCAAGAGGGTTGTCATGAATTCTCCAACATCATCATGTGAGTTAGATCCAATTCCTACTGCTCTTCTAAAAGAATGCATTGACGACTTTGCACCATATATTACAGACTTTGTTAATAAGTCTCTTCGATGTGCAAGCTTTCCAGCCTCAATGCAACAGGCTCTCGTGAAGCCTCTCCTGAAAAACCCGAATCTTGACAGACAAGACTTTGCAAGTTATCGACCTGTGGCAAATCTAAGCTTCCTATCGAAGGTTATCGAACGCATAGTATCCGCTCGTCTTCAGTCCTTCTTGAATGACAATAACCTTCAAGACAACTTCCAATCAGCCTACAGAGAAAAACACAGTGTTGAAACTGCCCTCTTACGAGTGCAAAATGATATCCTCACCGAAATGGATAGTGGAAAAGTAACTGGGCCAATTCTGCTCGATCTGAGTAGTGCATTTGACACGGTCGACCATGTTATACTCCTAGAGAGACTTCAGTCTATGGGCATTGGTGGACAGGCTCACCAGTGGTTAACATCTTATCTCTCAAACAGATCGCGAAGGGTTTGTGTACGCAGTGCTGTCTCTAAGACAGTTAATCTTGGCTTCTCTGTGCCCCAGGGATCGGTACTTGGGCCACAACTCTTCAACATTTACACTCTTCCCCTTCATGATATCATCAAGAGGCATAATCTCAAGCACCATATGTATGCTGATGACACGCAGATATACTTTTCGTGTTCTCCCACACAAGGGGAAGTTGAAGCCTGGATTGCTCGTGTTGAAGCCTGTATAAGTGACATTAGGAATTGGATGAAGGAGAATTACTTGAAGCTCAATGACGACAAATCTCAGTTTGTTATGCTGGGTTCCAAGCAGCAACTCGCCAAGTCGGTAACCCCCTATCTGAATATTGGTTCGTCATCAATTACTCCAGTGAAGAAAGTTCGAAATCTTGGAGTTATTTTTGACTCCAATATGACCATGGAGTCGCAGGTATCATCAAGTGTTAAACTTGCGATCCACAGTCTCCGCAATCTTCGTGCTATCGCAAGTATCTCACCACAAAGGCGGCTGAGCAGCTTGTGCATGCATTTGTTACATCCCGCATCGATTGTTGTAACTCTTTACTCTATGGCATCCCTATGTCTCAAGTTAAGAGGCTCCAGGTTGTTCAGAATGCTGCTGCCCGTCTCGTGACATATACACGCAAGTTTGCCCACATCACTCCAGTCCTTAAATCCCTGCATTGGCTTCAAGTTGAACATCGTCTCACCTACAAAATCCTTCTGATCACATACCGTGCCTTGAAGTTCTCCTCGCCACAGTACATCTCTTCTCTACTCAACTTTCGCAAGCCTGGTCGTTCTGGTCTGCGCTCTGCCAATACATCAACTCTGATCATCCCTAAGACCAGACGATCATGGGGAGATCGAGCATTTGCCTCAGCAGCTCCCCGATTGTGGAACAGTCTCCCTAACACACTTAAGGACTGTAAATCAGTAGATAGTTTCAAGGCCAGCCTGAAAACTTATCTAATGGCCAACTTTAACTAATATCATCTTCTTCCTTTTTTATGTGTAATGTGTAATGTATTGTAAGTAAAATTGTATTTAAGTATATTATGTAGCTCGATCATTGTAAGCGCCTTGAGCACCCTCTGGGTGGATATGTCGCGCTATAAAAATGTCTTTATTATTATTATTATTATTATCGATAAAAAAACAGCTTTGCTGATTCGATTGTTTCTTTTTTTTATCCTGTATAAATATGTCAAATAAATAAATTTAAAAAAATATAACTTATCTGAAAAATGACGTTCGTGAATTATTCTTGTACATCAAATTTTAATGGTACTTATGCATTTTATTCAGATACGATAATCCAATTTCAATTCTCCTACATGTTTCCTTTTCATGTGAAACAGGTCTTGGATATTGCATGGTACATATATGTTGTACCATGACATTGCACCACGTGGCTCAAAATTTCAACCTACTTTTCAGCATTAGTTTGACTGGATATGGCGTCGGAATGTTTCTGTTACCACTCATAGCTGAATTCCTACGTCAAGCTTACGGTTGGAGAGGTGGACTGCTCATCATTAGCGCGCTGATGGCACATATTATCCCAGTTGGCATGGCAGTCAAGTTGGAATCAGATGAGAGTAGCACACAGAGAAATGGTTTTCAGAGTGTCCCGAGTTCGCCACCAGAGTTTAACAAGGAAGAGGAGAGCAACATCAGCACAAGCAAGGACACAGAAGGTGAGTTGGACCGGTATTCCTAGTAGACCAAAAGCCCGTGAGACCGGCAGTCTCATGCGAACGCCATTGTCGGTCTCGTGAACTTATGTCAGAAAAATATGGCAGAAAAGCCAAGAAGACCAACATGTCGGTCTTGTGTCCTGTTAGTCTCGTGGGCCTTTTACAATGTTGACAGTTTGTCAGAAGATTTTCTAGACCTACCGTGTCTGTCGTGTGGGCCTCGTTCTCGTGTGCTTAATAAGTCTAAGAAGACTGACATAAATGGTAAATTATGGTCGACGATATGTAACCCTGTCCGATTTTAACATAAATGCTTTGGCTGCTTACTAAGGTGCGCCACCTCGGTTCAACATATGTTATGGACAGGGTCGAGGGTTTTGCCAACCCTTCGAGTGACAATAAACAGCTGAATAATAATACAGTGGAATACTCTTAGATAATATAATGGAGTTTGTGCAGAGAAAGGAATTGTAGATATAATGTTTAGTTTTGTATTTAAAACAAATCTTTAATTTTTTTGTATTAGACAATTGATGAGAGACCTACATTTTCCTTGTGTACTGTGATATTTTAGAGGTAAATTCATACCGAAAGTATTTTTGAGATTAAACCCCTTTTTAAAGGCCTTCATAATCAAATTTTCTTTAAAGATGACGACAGAGACGTCAGCGGAGTTTTTCGCAGGATCACCAACGATCTTCGCCAATCTGATTTTTACGTGGATCCTGTGTTCAATGTGTTATTTGGTGTAACTTTGGCGTCGCATATGGTTTGGAGTGGTTGGCACTCCTTTCTTGTACCGCATGCTCTGCAGAGGGGAATCTCGATCCGGAACACCATTATCATCACTTTTTCAGCTGCAGTAGGGAATACCTTCGGCAGGGCTGCTGTAGGTGTCCTTACCAACAGCCTCGTCAAACCTGTCACCCTCTTTCTCTTCGTTACAATCTTAAACATCGCCGCTCTTCTTTGCGACGTGTATTTCAACAACTTCTACGCCATGTTGGTGACGTCATGTATCTCCGCAATGGCAGTAGGAGCGGAGGCGGTGTTAGGACAGCTGGTTGTGAGGAACAGAGCATCTCCAGAGAAGTTTGATGTCGTATATGCAGCTGCCTTAATTTTTATCGGATCCGGGGGTTTCTTGGTGGCTATTTGAGTGGTAAGGATTCACCAAAAACGCATATGAGCCATTGAAATAATTTGTTGTTGTTAAAGGTATAGACTAGTGCCGGTCAGGCGATTGCTTTGTGAAAGAAACGTTGTGGAATCGATCAGAAAAGGTTGATCATCTAGCATATATATATATATATATATATATATATATATATATATATATATTGGTGTGTCCGGCAAGGTTCTGGAATCATCAAAATGATAAGAAATTTGGCCCAGTCTTGGTAAAGTTACAAGCACTGTACACAGAAAGATGCATATGGGACTACAATATATCTATCCAGTCCAGATAGATATAATAATTTACCAAACATATCAATTAGTAGGCGGTTTCCCGGCAAAATTTGTATCATCACGTATTAGTCAAAACATATTCTTACACATGATTGGTAATAAGAACTTCCATTTCATTTTTTGAGAGGGGGGCGTTTCCAAAACTGGTCTTTACGTTTAACTTGAATTGAATAAAAAGAATTTTTAGTTTGTTTTCATGTTGTTTCCAGAAAGAAGAAAATCAGTTTGACAACCTTCATGAAAGCAAAGAAAATGGTTCGATAAGATCAATTTCAACAATTAACCCTTCTCGTGATTTTATTCGTTGATTTGGAATGCAATTAAAAAAACACGATTATGAACTGATTTGCTCTAACAGCTTAACAAAAAAACTATAATGTTATTAGGTTCAATGATAGACTGAACAAAGATTGCAAACTCAGTAGGTGTGGGGTACAGTTCCCTACCAGTAATTTAGAGATAGTTTGCATTTAAGGATTTAATGGATATGAAGACAACGCCCATTGGTATCAAACGCAGACGAGGAAAATAATGGTGGCGATAGAGGGCAGCAATTATAAGAGCTGTATCGAGACCAAATAATAAATAAAATAATCTTGGGGTACAGTTACTGATTTATATATGATATATATCAGTGTCTATTTATATCGAATAGTCATTATGAAATGAATATTCATTTAATACACAACATCCGTCATGAAAAGAATCTTCACACGTGACTGGTTCATCGGGCACCAAATGATTTAAGGACAAATCCACTCGAAAAATAACTTACTTTCAATAAAAGCAGAAAAAATCAGACAAACCAATCAAAAAAAGTTTGAGCAAAATCGGATAACTAATAAGAAAATTATGATTATTTGAAAAAGTATGTAAAACTACGGAACAATGAGAATCACAACACAAATTGCAAAGATGTTTATCAGTTTGTGACGTCATGTTCTCACTGTTTATCAATTGCTCTATATGGTTTAATCCCATTAATTTCCCTTTTTATTCCCCAAACTTGATTTCCCCATGCCTTTGCCCAGGTTATATGATTTGTATCATATTGCGTGCATGACATTTCACAAAATCTTCTATGAACTTTGAAGAACTTATACTATTTTCTGAATATTGTATATTCATAATTATTGATTTTTATATAAAAAGTTTATCAAAATTCACATTTTTTTCATGATTTAACTGTTTGTGGAAAAAAATTACTCTATATTAGTGCATCCACACAAAAACATATTACTATTAATCTAACTTGGTTGCTGGTGTAAATAAATAAGATTCTTAAGGAGAAAATAGGAAATTTATATCATGAGGTCACAGACTCATGAGTGAGTTGCCAATTTGTCTAGTGATTTTCAAAGTTTTTAATGTCATTAAAAATTCATAACTTTCTTATTAGTTATCCGATTTTACTCAGACTTTTTTTGCTTGGTTAGTCTGATTTTTCTGCTTCTATTGAAAGTAATATATTTTTGGAGTGGACTTGGGCTTTAAAGGGTTGCAGGTTAATCATGTAGAAATAGATTGGATAACGCAATTAATGCAAAAAGATCAAAATAGTGACTGATCAAATAACTGTAATCAAGGGATTTATTCATAGGTATTCAGATCAACAAAGTGGATTCAAATTGCTCTCATTGTATTTTTTTCAGGAATGATTGCGGATCACTTCTCATCCTACAACGCAACGTTCAAACTATTAGCTTTCATCGAGGTTGTCGTTCTCCTCCTAATGGTAGTCGTGAGATGCAGACCAAAAGCAAACCCCGTCTGAACATGCTGTATCGGAAGCGTGTAACATATATTTTTTTATGGTGAGCTTTGAAAGCGAGTTCGTTCAGAATGTTTTCTTTTAATATATTAAAAATAAAATTATTTTAAAAACAATTTCTTTTCCTTTTTCATAAACGCATTTGGAGCTTATTATATAAGTAATCGATAGGCAACTCATAGATACTTTTGTTTTACATGCTGAATATAATAATACATTTATTACCAACATACTGTGTATAGAATTTGAAAAAAATTGTCTCTTAATATGTTCAAGTATTGTAGAGTACAATAAAAAAAACAAAAAACATTTGCATTAAAACAAAATCCCATGTCCTACAACAATAGAATAACGATTCTGATCGGTTTTTATCAAGAACAGCCAATCGATACGGTTAGTAGATGGAGTAGATTTATGTAGAAGGTACATGTATAGTTTCACTTGCAGAGTGAATGCAATGAATAAACGATATCATTTTCCGGAAGCTTGTTTATGCACATTCCCTCCCATTGGGAAGGCCCTCCTCCTAGATATTGTTGAAAAGATTAAATGAATATTAACCTGGCATTATTGAGAGTCCCAAATGAAATATATAATGTTGGGAGGTAACGATAACAATAAAAGCAGAAAACAATGAACGAGAAGAAAAAATAATATTTTGAACAAAAAACAACGACAGAGTTTACGTTGATTGTGGCTGTATCCCTCCTTCGGTTTGAATTAAGGGCCATGTGTTTGGTCAATGTGTTTGGTCCATGGAGGGACCCTATTTTGTATAACGTTGTTTATATGTTGCCACTCTACTCTGTGTTTATATAATTTGTTTTTCCTATATATTAAAGGGGCTGTAGCATGGGAAATACTGGTTAACGTTATCCACGACTTCTTTTGGAGAACTGCACGTAAACGAATGGACTTGATTATTACTGGGTCAGCGTTCTAGCGTTCGCTAAACAGACCGAAGTTCTCCTCACTCTTCGGTTTGCGTATGTTGCACGCACGTGAATACATAGGCCTACAGCGGTCGCGTCGTCCATAGTCGTAGTAGTATACCCGATTGGCCTCGAGTCAGGCCACGGGTAAGACAAATAGTCTCGTCATTCTACAGCCCCTTTAAGCTACCTCCTCTCCGGTTCATTTCTACATGGTTATAAAGTGGAGAAAATAGTTTTATTCGGTTAAAATGTTTTGTTGTTTGCATCTTAATAGATTACTTTCAAAGTAACACGATTTAAATTTTGGGAGATTTGATTTCTTGGTTCTGTTTCCCGAGTAGGATGTTTCCCCAAGAGTAAGATAATAAAATAGTTATCGTCCTTGGTCAAAAAACATAAAGTGAAAATTGTTTCCAAAAATATCCAAACCTTGAAACAAATGTGATATGTTTTTTAATTCTTTGTCGGAAATAGAGCATTGACAGTCACTTCTTTTTCCCTATACGAGCTAGCGACTTGTTACAGGCGCAAATCATTTATAATATTATATTGTGTCATTCTCAGTTTTGTGTGTATGATTACGCTCGCTGGTAATTACAAGAGACTACTGAACTTTTCCGCCCTCTACCACTATGTTTCTAGCTGTTTTATTTGATTATTTTGTCTTGAATTTTTTAAGGGATAGTTGAGTTCTTGCTTCAGACCGCAAAAGGCTTCAAAGTGCATGGTTATTGCTCTTATTCTTCTTTATGACATTTCTAGTGCTCTTTTAGGACCTAAAATTGCTATTTTTGACTTAAAAATATGTGAAATTTAGCCAATATGATCATACCCGACCAATTCAGCTCCACTTTAAAAAATATACGGTGACCATTAATTAATTAATTAATAATAACAATGAATGGGCTGGCTGGTTGTGCGTATTATAACCAACACGAAAAGGCCAACAAAAAGCCAACATCGGCGTTGGCTGAAGAAGAAATTACGTTTTGTCAACGGCTGGTTGAAATTATCGAATATTTGTGGGGCACCATAAATATTAGAAATCGTTATATTTATGGATATTTCAGCCGTCTCTTTACCGATTTGATCAAACAAAGATAATTTGGTCATTAAAATTGTATGTTGTTTTAAGTTTGGCACTCAGTTTTTCATTATCTCACAACAAAACTATTTTGTGTTGCGCCCTCTGCAACAAAAGTCAACTATCCCTTTAACGATGGCAAGTAATTGGCCGACCTTATGAAGGAGTGATACTTTTCTTGAGTGAAAAACAGTATACCTGCACCGGGCATTTTATTAAAACAGATTATTCTACACTTGTTAAACACAGTTTCCTCAGGTTGTAATATTTAATGAAATACTTGTAAACATTGCTATGTAGCTTCATTGGAATAACTTAAACATAAAGAACGTCGTAGCGACTGCTTCTAACATGCAACTATCGCCATTGGCCTATCGAAGCATATGCAGTATCTCTATAAATGTCCAGGAGGTATGTAGCATTAACCGAATTATCTTGTTCAGCTTGTTATTTTAGTCCCCCTTATTTAGATTATGTAACCAAAAATAAAATTGTTGAAAGTTGAAAAGGTGGATGAAATAAAACAAAAATTATATTAGTACTTCGTGCTTTGAGCTAAAATAATCGGATAACCGTGCAGTAATGTTTGTTTATAATTACTTGTATGACGGTTTTGAGCCGTTTTTCATGGTTTACAAAAAGTACCCGCATGACTGCGCAGTAACTGTGCAATGTCGTGATTTATAGTGCGCCAACGTACTGAACAATTGAGGCGTGAGACTTGGTAGGTATGGCCCCTGAGGGCCATAAAAATACCCCCAAACGCGTATACCGGTACGTAAAGCACGATTTTAAACCATTTTGAAAAAGGTACCCTTTTCTTGAAAATGGCCCAAAATGAATGTTTTTGAACCCCTTAATGCGGCACCGCGCGGACCGCGTCCAATCTATAAAAAAACACCCCTTTATACGCGTTTTCCTGGTCACGCATACTAACAGTATTTATATTAGACAGAGACCCCCGGGTACATATACTACATGTAGATTTTATTTATTTATTTCAACGTAGGTAAGAACGTACTGAGTAAAAATGGTTTATCATTCAGTCCCCTTGACATGCCATCTGATATATTCTGATCTTATCTCTACACTGTATCATGCCTTCAATTGACACGTTTATATTTTGTTTGACATGAATTTTGCAACTTTAGTTTGTTTTAATGAAAATATTTTTATAAAGATGTAGACATGAATATAACAGTGGTGAAAAAGGCTGAAAACTCAGACAGCTATATACCGTGTATCTATACAAGAAATACAGAGTCCTTTTTTGTATACAATATTATAACATGCCATCTCAAATATTATGATCTTATTTGTACACAATATTTTGCCTTCAATTGACATGTTTACATTTTGTTTGGCATGTATTTTACAACACTCTGTTGTACATATGTTGTAAAAATATATTGTAAAATTGTTTACTTTACTTGTATCAAAGAGAACGGTTGCTGAGCTAGCGCCATGAGCGTCCATGTATAAGCGCAACACAGTCAAGAGGTCACGTATTAGACGCGCGCCAGGCAAGGTACGCCTAATTTGCGCTTATTTTTAAACCATGGGTTATGTAAATGAGGGTTTAAACCATGGGTTAAATTTAAACCTCCTTTGTGAATTCGGGCCTATAAGTTTACACTATTATTATTATTATTACGTAGATGTTTAATACTAATATATAGACATGAATAAAACAGAGTAAAATTGGTTTATCGCTTAAACTACCCATGCTGTGTATCTATAACAGACATACAGAGTCTTTTTGTTGTTATACATTATAACATGCCATCTCAAATACTATGATCTTTTCATCTGTATACTGTAGCATATCACGCCTTTGGTTAACATGCTCGAATATATTGTATACACAGTAGGCTTACGGGTGCACCATGTGTGAGAGAGAGAGAGGGTTGAGGGTCCTGAAAAGGACTCGTGACTCGGTAATCTGTCTTGAGGGTGTGTAGTCCTTATCTTTCTTAGCATATAGTTCTGAGGAGAACTAAAGCGCTTGGAGAGGATGAGTTGCTCGACGTTTCGAACAGGTTGACTATCCGTCGTCAGGTGTGGAGAATAGCTGGCGTGCGAGAGCTTAAGTCACCGGGGTGCGGACGTCAGGGAAAAATAGGTGACCGTGTGGGCTTGAGTCATCGGAGGTGACATGGATGGTCGGCTGGTTCGTCTGACTGTCCGTCTGGGCTGGAAAGAAAGATTACCGAGTCAGAGTCCCTTTCAGGACTCCTCAACCCTCTCTCTCTCTCTCTCTCTCTCTCACACATGGTGCACCAGCAAGTCTACTGTATATCTACATCACCATGCAAGCCGGCACTTACAAGTAGCATTAAAAAAAGACAAAATCTAACATACACGTATCAATATTGTTATTTATTTGAATAAAATTGAATATTGTATTCTAATCAGTGACGATGCCCATATAACTTTCAAAGACACAATAATTCCATAAGATACACATATACAGTGTACTTTCTAAGATCGTTATCAATTATTTCAATGCATAACTATTTAGTTCACCAGGAAAAAAAAGTATCAACAACCTTTTAAAAAGCCCATGAAAGCCATACAAATCTTACCTTTTCATCACACAACCAAACCCTCTCTCTCTCTCTCTATCTCGCTCTTTTGCATTCTTAACAATTTCTCTCACTAGCTCTATCTCTCTCTCTCTCTGGTTTTCCCACTGTCTCTACTCTCATTCATTTTCCCACTCTCTCTGTATGTCTCTCTCTCATTTCCCACTGTCTATATCTCTCTCTATCATTCATTTCCCACTCTCTCTGTATGTCTCTCTCTCATTTCCCACTGTCCGTCTGTCTCTCTCTCTCTCATTTCCCACTGTCTCTATCTCTCTCTATCATTCATTTTCCCACTCTCTCTGTCTGTCTCTCTCTCATTTCCCACTGTCTGTCTCTCTCTCTCTCTCTCATTTCCCACTGTCTCTCTTTTTCTCTATCATACATTTCGCACTGTGTGTGTCTCTCTCATTTCCCACTGTTTCTCTCTCTATCATTCATTTCCCCACTCTCTCTGTCTGTCTCTCTCTCATTTCCCACTGTGTCTCTCTCTCTCTCTATCATTCATTTTCCCACTCTCTCTGTCTGTCTCTCTCTCACTTCCCACTGTCTCTCTCTCTCTCTATCATTCATTTTCCCACTCTCTCTGTCTCTCTCTCTCTCTCATTTCACACACTCTCTCTCTCTCTCTATCATTCATTTTCCCACTCTCTCTGTCTGTCTCTCTCTCATTTCCCACTGTCTCTCTCTCTCTCTCTCTCTCTCTATCATTCATTTTTCCACTCTCTCTGACTGTCTCTCTCTCATTTCCCACTGTCTCTCTCTCTCTCTCTCTCTATTATTCATTTTCCCACTCTCTCTGTCTGTCTATCATTCATTTCCCACTGTCCCACATACACGTATCAATATTGTTATTTATTTGAATAAAATTGAATATTGTATTCTGTATTCTAATCAGTGACGATGCCCATATAACTTTCAAAGACACAATAATTCCATAAGATACACATATACAGTGTACTTTCTAAGATCGTTATCAATTATTTCAATGCATAACTATTTAGTTCACCAGGAAAAAAAAGTATCAACAACCTTTTAAAAAGCCCATGAAAGCCATACAAATCTTACCTTTTCATCACACAACCAAACCCTCTCTCTCTCTATCTCGCTCTTTTGCATTCTTTACAATTTCTCTCACTAGCTCTATCTCTCTCTCTCTCTGGTTTTCCCACTGTCTCTACTCTCATTCATTTTCCCACTCTCTCTGTATGTCTCTCTCTCATTTCCCACTGTCTCTATCTCTCTCTATCATTCATTTTCCCACTCTCTCTGTCTGTCTCTCTCTCTCATTTCCCACTGTCTGTCTCTCTCTCTCTCTCATTTCCCACTCTCTCTCTCTCTCTCTCTATCATTCATTTTCCCACTCTCTCTCTCTTTCTATCATTCATTTTCCCACTCTCTCTGTCTGTCTCTCTCTCATTTCCCACTGTCTGTCTCTCTCTCTCTCTCATTTCCCACTGTCTTTCTCTTTCTCTATCATACATTTCCCCACTGTGCGTGTCTCTCTCATTTCCCACTGTCTCTCTCTCTCTATCATTCATTTCCCCACTCTCTCTGTCTGTCTCTCTCTCATTTCCCACTGTCTGTCTCTGTCTCTCTCATTTCCCACTCTCTATCTCTCTCTATCATTCATTTTCCCACTCTCTCTGTCTGTCTCTCTCTCTCATTTCCCACTGTCTCTCTCTCTCTCTCTCTCTATCATTCATTTTCCCACTCTCTCTGTCTCTCTCTCTCTCTCTCATTTCACACACTCTCTCTCTCTCTCTATCATTCATTTTCCCACTCGCTTTGTCTGTCTCTCTCTCATTTCCCATTGTCTCTCTCTCTCTCTCTCTATCATTCATTTTCCCACTCTCTCTGACTGTCTCTCTCTCATTTCCCACTGTCTCTCTCTCTCTCTCTATTATTCATTTTCCCACTCTCTCTGTCTGTCTATCATTCATTTCCCACTGTCTCTC